AGACCCCCTGCTGAGCAGGGAGCCCGATGCGGGACTCGATCCCGGGACTCCAGGATCATGACCTGAGCCGAAGGCAGTCGCTTAACCAACTGAGCCACCAGGCGCCCGAATAAAATCTTTTTTAAAAAATAAAAACTATGACCCTGATAAAGGGGCATGATTCATCCGAAGTTAACAGCTTTTTAAGGCAATGTCTTCAACAGATCACTTAATTCCCTGGGGCCCCAACTTTTTCTACCTGGAAAACAAATAGTTTGAACTAGATGATCTCTATGTTCTCCCTAGTGTTCAAACGCCCTGCCCTGTTCCTCTAAAATATATAAAACCTAGCAAAAGGGTCCTGGAGGAAAGAGTCAGAAGGTCAGGCTCTGAATAACACTGGCTAACCAAAGACATGATTTTAGAAAAACCTAGTTGAGGGCGCCTGGGTGGCTCAGTTGGTTGAGCAGCTGACTATTGATTTTGGCTCAGGTCGTGATCATGGGGTCCTGGGATCGAGCCCCATGTTGGGCTCCATGCTCAGCACAAGTCTGCTTCTCCCTCTCCTTTTGCCTCTCCCCCGGCTCATGCTTTCTCTCTCATATAAATAAAATCTTTAAAAAAAAATGTGAGGGGCGCCTGCATGGCTCATTCCGTTAAGCATCTGCCTTCAGCTCAGGTCATGATCCCAGGGTTCTGGGATCAAGCCCCGCATCAGGCTCCCTGCTCCGCAGGAAGCCTGCTTCTCCCTCTCCCACTCCCACTGCTTGTGTTCCTGCTCTCACTGTCTCTGTCAAATAAATAAATAAAATCTTAAAAAAAAAAAAATAAGAAATCACTAGCACACTGAAGTATAGTCAGAGTATTCTCATTAAGTGGCACTTTTCTACCCACAGGAAAGTTCACAGGTGAACTTTCATGATGTTACAGATCCTTAGCCAGCAGGCATCATGACTCCCATCGTGAAACTAGGGAGGCTGGATACCCAAGGGAAGCCAGGCAGAGCATGCACTGATCACTTGGTGGGTGGATAATGTCTGTTGCATACACTGGCCTATGGTAAAAGAGTAAACAAAAAAGACTGAGCCATAAATGAAATAAATGTGTATCTCACAATATATAAATATTTATCCAGGAAAAATGAAAGAAATCCAAATTAATAATATTCATGAAATCAGAATGTCACCAAAAAGGCAAACAACAAAGCCAAGTCTTTGGGTATCTCAACTTATTTTCCATGCTGTAAATGAAATATAGCTCTTCTTCCTGGTAGCCTGGAAGATACTATAGCAGATGCCCAGCCTCATGCCATGGCCTGCATCACACATAAACTCACATACCATCTGACAACTACTTGAAGGTTTAGGGGAAAAATGTCCAATTTGGGCTTTTAAGTCCCAAAGTTTGGCATTCTTCATCCGCATCTTATTAGAGTCTTCGTTATGTGATCTTAGGCAAGTCCCATAGATAATTTTTGGCCTCAGTTTCTTCACCTTTAATGTAAGAAGGTAAAACTAGACCACTGAGTCTCAAAAAGGGGAGGGGAAGGCAAAACCCACAGGAAGACACATGATGGGATGGCATGTGAGATTTATTTTATCATGTTATGTTACTTATGTTCTGTAAAGGGAAGATTTTTATTAAAAATTGAGATGTAATGCCTTAGCCACGCTCAAAATCTGACCATGGCCCAGTGAATATTAAGAATGTGCCTCACTGGGATGCCTGGGTGGCTCAGTTGGTAAAGTGGCTACCTTTGGCTCAGGACATAATCCTAAGGTCCTGGGATGGAGTTCCACATCAGGCTCCTTGCTCGGCAGAGAGCCTGCTTCTCCCTCTGCCAGCCATTCCCCCTGCTTGTGCTCTCTCTCTCTCTCTCTCTCTGATTTAAAAAACAAAAAAAGAATGTGCCTCACCGGGGCACCTGGGTGGCTCAGTTGGTTAAACATCCAACTCTTGATTTCAGCTCACGGTTGTAAGATGGAGACCCACGTCAGGCTCCATGCTGGGTGTGGAGCCTCCTTAAGATTCTCTCTTTCCCTCTGCCCCTCCCCCTGCTCATGTGCACACGCGCACTCTCTCTCTCAAAAAACAAAGAAAAAGAACGAGCCTCACTGGGCTAGGCCATCCCCCAAGTCCACACCATTTCCTGTAATGCACTCCCAACACAAAAGCTTCTCTCTCTCAACTAGTCTAACTTTCTAAAACAGAGAAAAGATGTGGGTAGTGTCGAAAAGATCGACTAAATTGATGACAAGTCTGAGTAATCTCAAATTAAAACCACTTAAAAAGAGAAATTAAAGAGGAAGGGAGAGGCATACCCAGCTTTCCCAAACCAGTTGCCCATAACGGCAACCACGCAGGGCCAACCAGTGGACTGCAGCAGGCCATTTACAATCCACAGACAGCAGTAGAACCCCTTGTTGTAGAAACGCAGCCATTCTGTGACTGTGCCAAAGACGTACACCTGAGAGATGAAGGGAAGAAAAGGGGACATGTGACATCCACACAGACACCTTTAGGGACACTGAACTGCCTACCACACCTACGTTTGTGCGTGAAGAGACACATTCAAAAGACTAGGTCCTAAGAGACCTGTGCCGACTCTTCAGATGCTCCTGTTTAGGGCAGCACTGAGTGAGTGAGACACCCACCAGACCGCCACCACTGACCAGAGACGTCAAACACATGCTCGTTCAAGATTACCCTTGTCTGACTCGTAGCTTAAGCTCTAAGAAGTTCAATCCTCGTTGTTCAACTTCATTAGACAACTCTTTCCGTTTTCTCGTCCCCAGGCGCATGTGTGTGGAGGACTATTATAGGGACTGACTGAGGTCACGTATGTGTGGTCAGGGCAGTGCCATGCACACTGGGGGGGATCAGGACGCGCCAGCTACGGTCCTTACTGCAATCGTTAAGAGAACCAGTGTAACCTGTGATCTGCTCAGTAATTCAGGAGCATTTGCCAAGTCACTGCTCTTTTTTTGGCATTTTGCTAAAGTGGATGTTTTATCAGTAGTCAAAGTTTCTTTTGGAATATTATGCATGGGCTAAAAACTAGTATGTACAATACTGTAGGATTCCATTCTGGAAAAAGCACAACTATAAGGACAGAAAAATGGTCAGTGGTTGCCAGAGGCTGGGGGAGGGGTGGGGGGGGGAGAGTGGTGGTGACACAACTATACTCGTTTGTCAAAACTCAGAACTACACACCAAGAAGGGTGAGTTTATGCGCATACTTCAATTTTTCAAAAAATGTGAAAAAACAGAACAAAAATGTATACAGGATGGGCGCCTGGGTGGCTCAGTTGGTTAAGCGACTGCCTTCGGCTCAGGTCATGATCCTGGAGTCCCGGGATCGAGTCCCGCATC